TCCTGCAGCCCCTTCTCGCGTGACCGCGCCTCCAACCTGTCCGCAGTAGTTCCTCCAGCCTCGCTTCAGACCTGTCCGTGGAAGTTTCTTCACAGCTGCTGCTGACTACCGCGCGTTCCTCGTCATGTTCACGGACTGCTGTCATTGCTGCCATTATAACATCACTGCCTAACTGAATTCGCTGTGCTTCTTGCGGTGCGAGCGGTCCTGATCACTGCGCTGTTGAAGCTGTCCGCCATCCTCTCCATCCTTTGCGCTCCACCACCGACCCGTTACCGGCCTCCTGCACAGAGCACCAGACGCCGCCTCGACAGCACGGCTCAGCCAGTGACCGGTCGAGCGGGGCCCAGGTGCTGCTGCCGCTGCCGCCGCTGACAGCCGCCCCGCGCCGCCGACGACGATCTATTCAATGGTGATCGAGCGGCGGGCACACGGACGGCGCTCAATTAACGCCACGACGAGAACGGATGAACGCCCAATAACCGAACGTTATTGCCACGCCGTTCCTTTGTCTGATGTGAGTGTGTTTGTATGTGTGAGTGTCTCGGATCCGAGCCTCTGGTTGGTCCCAGAAGTCTCGAACAGCAAACTGTGAGCGTATTTGTGGTTCTTCTTAGCCCTTCGTTCTAACAAAACAACCAATCATCACAAACGCTATCACGCGTGATACAGCCTCTGAAACTTTTTAGTTAACTTATCAACAAATATGAGACGTTGGCTGTTCTGATGATGAAAAGCTTTCAGATACAGAAAAACACCATTCCCAGGTTGAGCGTCCATCAATCATCCAACTTAGGACATCGGTCAAAAGACACACTCTCCTTCCTCTCCCCGCTAAGGACATTTGTGGAGGACACCCTCCCTGCAGGCTCGGTCAATCTGTGCTCGCTGGTACTGGGTCTGACTGCTCGGAGGCCAATCTCGTGTCTCTCCGCCGGACATTGGCCGCGTCCCTCCGTGCGGCCGACTGTGGAGTGCGGTGCACCGGCCAGACCGCAGTCCACCGCGCGTGATGGGCCCTCAGAGAGCACGCGCAGCGCGAGGAAATGGCGCCAACATCTCGCGCGCGCGCGGCGGGGGCGGCCGCCGGTGGCGATAACGAAACCTCCCGGGAACCGAGGATTGATAAACACGGCCTGGCAGCCGAAACAGAGCCGATGGGATACGCGCCCCTTTGATGGAGAGCCATGTCGTGTACCGGAGCTGGCTGGAAGGAGGTACGAGATGAAAACAGACAACGGTGTGCCTGGTCCCCCGATCGAGGCCTGGGGAGAAGCCGCCAGAGCTCTTCCCTCCCCCAGCGTGCGTAAAATACGACCTTCAATAGATGTATAGGTTACCCGATCTAGCCTTGTGAAACTCATCACCTGACTCTCTATTTCTAATTGCTCATCAATTGCGTGAAATACCTAATTGAAGCACTATAAAACATCATCGACTTGTAGATTAAATGCAGCTTTTCTAGGTAAAATTCATTGAAGATGCCAATTGCCATCATACATGATAGGGGAAGCGGGGGTAGCACCGCCATGTGGGAAACACCGCCATCCTCTCTATCGGCAAAACTCTGAATTGTAAATGTAAACACCCGCCATTTCGGTGTCCGAACGGAAACGAGACGCCGCGTGAGGTAGGTTTCGCTAAGATTTATTTGATTTTGAGATCGCAATTGCCCATTTTGTGAATTTCAAACCATCGTTGTAATCTTTTGGCATGTTTTAGCAGCAAGTAAGTGGTCATTTCAAGTCAAAATGCCTTGATTTTTACGTTAAATTTGAGGGCATGAAGTGCTCTTCGTTTAGAAAGGAATTACAGAAGAATCGCGTCCCGGCTTGTTTTGCTGTCGGGGCGTTGTCGGTCCATGACTGTGTGTGGGGTAACACCGCCATGCTCGGCGGTGCTACCCCAAGGGGTGGCAAAATGGATAAAGCCGCAATGATGATTCACTCAGCTCGGAGAAGAGCTTTAGTTAGGCCGCAAACGTCGTCTGTTTTTTAACCTCACGTTTGACTTCACTGGATGTTTCGAAATGAACGTGAATTTGTCATGCTTTGTATGCATATTGTCCGCAACAAACAGTCTGATCTGTGACAAACTAACAACCAACTCTTGTGTGTCTTATATGAGTTTGAGTTACTATTTCAGACAGCAGTAACGCTTCCAAGGGTGGCTGTCACCGTAAGGCCGATCTGTGGATAACATCGCCATCAGTGGCGGTGCTACCCGCACATTTTTTGGAGGACGGAAAATGCAGGACTTGTTTTCAATGCCTGTAAAGTAGCGAAATTTTATAATGGAGCGCTGGAAACTATGCTAACATGTAGGAAAACATTCCTACTTTCACATGAATGCAAAAGAGCTTCGTTTTTACTACGCATATCAGCTCGGTGAGCAGAAATGCTTAAGGTGGCGGTGCTCCCCCCGCTTCCCCTACAACAGCGCTCTAAAGTCTGATATCTAAATTGCGATCTATATGATTTCAATCTAAAAATGAATGCACTTTATCTGCAGACTCTCAAAAGACGTTTCCTCATTTTGCACACAACCTGTGCCGTTGTTAGTGCCTTACAAAGCCCAAGGATGATCACAATGCCTCGGATTTTTTTTTGTGGAAGTCCCTAAGCACTGCATCAAAGAAGTCGATTCCAAATAGCCGAGAGTCCCGACACACGCAGGATGTTCCGTCACAGAGTCCTGCGTGCACCCAGCCAGGGTGTGAGGTGGCGTCGGACAGGAAAAACTCCCGCGAAACACTTTGATCAGGAACTGTTTGGAAAAACGGTATCCCCGGGAGTTTCCGTCCAAATGTTTGTCACAACCCAGCTACGAGGCTGGCTGTTTCTTTTGAGTAAAAACAACGCTGTAGACAGGACCGAGTGACATCAGCTGAACTTCAGCGCGGCAAGGATGGAAAAACGTGGATGTTCGTATCAGTAGCAGGTGTTGTGTCGCGTGATAATCCTACTCAATGGACAGTGGGAACTGGGGATAAAGTAGGTATATCAAGTATCAACACATTGTCATCAGTCATCGACACTTTTCACCATAAGTATTTTCTGTAACATGAACTAAGTACCTTCACCCAAATGTCTAAAAAATAGCAGCAGATTTTGAGAATTAATGTGGGATTCTTATTATTGCAGAAACATAAAAACAATGGTAATTGATAATGACCTCTATCTGCCTGGTTTGTAGTAAAAAAGGCATGATTTCCGAAACTCTCCTTTAAAAAAGCCGTCATTGCTTCCCTTAGACGTTTATTGCTGTCTAATTCAAGCAATGACGGCTTCCTAGATCTGTGGCAGTTTTGATCGCCGGCAGCCTGTACCGGTGTGCCGGAGCGAGACGGCAGCTCTGCGCGGCAGTTATTAATCCTGCAGCGAGCAGTGACGGTTTCCGCCGCGCCGGTTCGACTGCCGGCTGCATTTCTGGCGGATAATGATCGGCCCGCGCTGCTCGGCGCCGGTGTCGGGTGATCGGAGGTGCTAATTGGCACTGCCGCACTCCGCGCCGCGCGTCAGATCGGATGGCACACAGCGGCGCCGCCAATACGGGCGCTATCTGCCCAGGCAGCGAGACAAGATAGTGGCGCGGATACGCCAGTGCAGCCATATGGCCTACCTTCAATAGGCGACTGTTCGTGTCGACAGGCGAACGCGGTGATTTAGGCATACAATTATACCACAAAACGTTACATTAGCTTGGCTGGGTAAATCAGGCAATTATGTGTCATACAGTGATGGACATTTAATATTTTTATTGAAAATATCGAGAGTTGCAATATAGGTGGCTAACATAAAACAATTTCCCTAAAGCCAGGTGCTCGCCAGACGCCTGACAAAATACAATGCTGTGCCGATATTGAACTGCAATATGTGTCGGCGCGGGTGCTCTAGAGAGACGGTCGTAATGTACAATTTGTCTGACAAATTCTGTTCTTTGTTGCAGGGCTCCCGGCGGACTGTGTGCCGGCGCCGGCTGCAGCGCTGGTGTTTATGGTGGCGTTCCTTCTACCAGGTAATTCCACGCTCGTCTCTGCCCTGTTACACACACTTTATTTGATAACGCTGTGTTCTTTAAGAAAAAATGTTTGAACACTGTGTTAATTAGAAAACATTGTAAGGCACGCAAGTACTGGGGCGTTTAATCAAACATAGACTATATGTAGGTTGCTATAGGTTTGGTCGTTGGATCCAGTAGCGGCGGAACACCTTGAATTAAAGGGACCCTCCCACCTTCAAAAAAGTTTATGAATTGGCATGAAAGTGATGTCGCTCGGTTCAGAAAGAGCGAAAACGAATATCTACCAAATTTCACCGAAAAATATTCACCGGTTTTCAAGATATTAGACTTTTACCATGGATAAGAGATACCTGGATGGGGCACTCTCGGCGGTACCCTTTGATCTACGCGTCACACCGCCGCGGCCGGCGGCCGCCTGGTGGCGGAACCCGGAACTAACAACGTACACGACCGCCGGGCGCCCGGGCCGGCTGAGAGCATTAGCGGCGGCCGTATCCTACGCTCCTCGCCGTTTCAAGCTGCGCTATTGGGGCCTTTGGATGGGTGGGTGGGTGTCAACGGGTAGTCAGCACGATGCTACACGTGTGCAGTGTGCTCGATTTCATAAAAATCGTGGTCGCTCAGATACGTTAGCCCGCTTAACGATCGAATCGCGGATTCCGCCCACATGAGTTTCTGCGCATGTTCGTCCTCTACATCCTCACAACCAACTCACCTCATCACTGATCACCCATATTTGTTCTGAGCTGATAGCCAGCCACCCCACTTGGCGACTGGTGAGGGCACTAGGGTAGTTCGAGGAGAACCATTTCCCTCCAGTGCTTGCATTACCGAGACATGCCGGTCTCGCCTGAAGCTCAGCTCCGCCTGTCGACGGTCGAATCGGCCCACTGTATGTATGCCCCTATTCTCTTATTTAACGCCCCAAAGAATTATAATACACCAGAAGCTATACAGGAACCGACACACCCGCACATTAAGTTAGCAAATGCCATGAGCAAACAGAATGCTGAATGAGACGATTCTATTTGCAACAAAAACTCACCGATCTACAGCGCTCAGCATTAGCTTTCTTCAAAATAACAGCCCATCAGAAACAACTCCCAAGGACGGACAAGTTCACAGACATCTAAAAAAACACTGATCAGTGCCCACTGCCCTCCAGTAACGGAGGCCATTGATGGAACAAGTGGCAAGTAGGGAAGTGGAGACGTATCGATACAAACATGACCAGTAGATCTCCACGCCTTAGCGCATCAGGATTCAGGTGTCCATTGGTCTTTATAAACATAATTGATACACAAAACTACTTTCAATATCAAACATCCTAGCAGGCCAATACACATACATGCTTAACACTCAAGACACCACACAAGCATTGCCATCATGATCTTGCCCCAGCCCCAATCCCCATCCTTCCAGTCCAGTGCTCATAAACAGGCTGATCCAGAACCAATGGCTGGCAGCTGGTCAAACTGGAAAGTGGAAAAGTTACAAATGTGATTAGATGTAATAGGTGGAATGTGGATATTATGAAGAATCAACTCAATTTCAATGCATATTTATGAAATAATAGTAACATTAATTGAGTTATATTATGATTTATTTTGATAAAATGATTGCAATCAAGAACTCCTTGAAGAAGCGTAAACTCGCAACGAAAAATTATTGGTAGGTGGAAGATAATAATTCTGTGACCATATTTTGATAGTATATTTATTATAAATCTTGTCAGTTAATGAAAAAAGGTTTAAAAAATAAACTGTTTCAATCCAGACAACACTTCAAGCTCAACATATAATACTTTGCGCTGTGGAAGTAGGTACCTACTTTGATATGCAGCATTATAAGTCATTATAGAGTTGTAACTTGTAGTTAAGGTCTGAAATGAATGTGGGGCTAAATAAGAATGCATTCCAGTATCTTTAAAATGTATTTATTTTGCATTATTCTTATCAATCTATTCCAAACCAATGTTAAAGCAGTGTAATCTGTGATGAACAATGTGCGCCATATTTGTAGTCACCACTTCAAAGGCCATTCTCCTATTACCACACATGAATATTCATTTAATTCTACATGCCATCGATTCTCGGAACGATTCTGAATAAAACCCACTTCCTCACATCTACTTAGCCTATCGTATCAAAGAGATATTCACCGATTTATGCTTCTTGCCAAAAAGGTGCTGTTTTCAGAGCATGGCGCTATTTCATCAATTATAGCTATTGGGACCAAACTTTTACCTTCACTGCATTCCTCACCTTTCAATATAAAATATGCTGCCCCAACTTCTTCTTTAAACACACGTAATCACACGTAAAAGCAAAATAACGATCGCCGCAAAGCACTCCGCCATTGAGTTTACAACAGGCGCCAAGGTCGCGGTCGTGTACGTTCCTCGCGCATGCGCATAACGGCCGTGTGACGCTAAAGTCGCCGGAGTGCCCCATCCAGTTATCTCTAATCCATGCTTTTACTTTTGTTTACTTTTCTGGGATCTCCGCTGTTTCTAGCGACTTTATTTTAGAAGTGCGGTGTTTGCGGCAGATGTTGCGCGCAAATAGCATATAGGTACCACCGCGTGCTACAAAACGTTTTAGTCAAACATTTAAAAATCGTTAGATATTTGCGCTGACGTCACACATTCAGAGGGGTATTCCTAAGCATTAGCCCCTCTGAATCAAAATGCTGCAATTTTGAAATTCAATATTTCCGATTTAAGGCATTTCTCGATGTTGTGAGTGCCGAAACCGGTAATTGTGAGCCAGGGACCCCATTTTGGCTATCTCAACTCAAATCTAATGTTAAGGTGGGAGGGTCCCTTTAAGGGGAGGGAGCACTGGTGACTTTTGGTCCTATTCTTTCCGTGCAACGCCCATAGGGCTGATGTTAAAATTCCAAAATCAAGGGGGGCACGGTGCCCCGATACCCCCCCCCCCCCCGTTCCGCCGCCTATGGTTGGATCTTGCATAGTCCGTACCTATACCTGTGTAAAAAAAAATCGGTCTATTCGCCCGTCGCCGCTCTCCGTTTCTCCGCGAGTACGTATGTCTTCTCCACCTGACCGCCGAAGGGACTTCATTCCTTCTCCAGCTGCTGAGCAGACTTGGCCGTCCTGTCTCGGCGCTGCTGCTGAGCAGACTGGGCCGTTTTCTCTCGGCGCCGCTGCTGAGGAGCCTTCGCCTTTCCTCGTTCCATCGGCGCTGAAGCGTGCCAGTCGACCTAACAACCGGGCCGTCCCTTCCGTCGGCACTGACGAGCGACCAAACGACTCTCCTCCGACTCGGTTCCGCCGGCCGCGCCCTCCAGCTGGGCGACAATCATCAATCGCCTCCGCCGCGCCGCCTCTGGCTCGGCCGCGCCGCCTTCGTCGCAGCTCAGCCGAGCCCGAGAGCGGAGAGCGCGCGGCGCTAACGAGGCTGTCGGCCGTCGCGCGGCGGACGGAACTGATCCGAGGCGGGCGATCCGGTCAGCCGAGACCCGACAGCGCCGGCGGCGACAGAGAGAGACAGACGGGGTGACAGGGGTCGCGGGGAGGTGGGAGGGAGGAGTGACAGGTCATGGGGAGGGAGGGAGGGAGGGAGGGAGGAAGAGTATGACTGGTCATGGAGAGGAAGGGATGACAGGGGTCATTCAGGAGGAGGGAGGGATGAATGACAGGCATCATGGGTGGGAGGGAGGGGGTGACAGGTCATGGGGGAGGGATGGAGGGATCAGGGAGGGATGACAGGGGTCACATGGAGGAAGGGAGGGGATGACAGGCATAATGGGGAGGAGGGAGGGGGAGGAAATGGGGGAGGAGGGAGGGAGGGAGCTGAAGCTGGACTGTCCTGGACCGACGACGTGTTGCCGGAAACTGAAAGAAACAGTAGCGGAACAGATGAAGTAGCAGTGGAAATAGCACAGTGGAGTGGACTGCGGGCCAAATGCCAGCTCAAGAAAGAGAAACTTTCCTAGTGTAAGTACAGAAAAAGGTCCCGTAACTAGAATGGGAGCGTCATAAGTCATCACGAACCTGACCTAGAACAAAAGTTTCAAAGTTCAGAGCACGGCGCTGCTGAAGTTTCGTTGACTACACGCATCAACTGCCGCGAATTGCTGGCCTCATCGTAATCACCGCGCTTTACGACTCCATGTTTTATCCAAATGGGCGAATGGATGCCAGAACCTAAGGGAAATGGGTATTTATATACATAAGGTCCGATCAACAAGGTGATTATAAAAACCACACCACTCGATGTATTTTGAGCTCCTGATTCCATATCTGATAGTTATTCATGGCGCAACCAAGTTTTAAAGCAACTGCGCAATATTTACCGTCGCCGCCGGCCACCATCCCACGACACCCGCCGTCAACGCACTCCACCAGCCGTTTGCGCCACGTGAGATAGATCGAATGAATAAACTCCAAGGTTGAGTGAAAACATTACGCTATTTAATCTCATTATGAAAGTGACGTCATGAAAATGATCGTGGCGAAGCGGTGCAGTGCCGAAGGCAATGCCTTAGGAGAGATTACAGGCAATGGTAAGTCAAATATTTTTAGGTTAAGTGGTTGTGTATCTGGCCTCAGGCCGAAGGCCTGAGGCCTGATGCACAACCACTTAACCTAAAAATATTTGACTTACCATTGCTTGCAATCTATTCATGCGAGCCACTGTTTCCTTATCCCCGGGTAGGCAAAAATCAGTAGGTCAGGTTAGGTCAGGTTAGATTAGGTTGTGACAATTTTTGTCGTGTTTTTTTCCTATCCTACCCAACAAAACTCCAATTTTTTAAACATTTTTTCGTGTTTTGTTATTTTGACGTCACTTTCATCAAACAATTTAAATAGAGAAGAAGTAATGCTTTTTACATTTAAATTGCTTTTTGATGATTTATTTTTATTTTTTATGTTCAAATAATATAATTATGATATCTTTTCTATCAAATATGCCTAATAGCTATGACCTTACGTAAACTTCTTTCCATTCGTACCTGCAATTTAGGGCAGAAACTTCCGTTTCCGTTTGAGCAAACTGGTTTGAACCAGTTTTAGCAGGTGCTTTCCAGTGCTTTCCGCTTTCCCGCCAGTCTGTTAGTTGGATCATGGCTTCCGTGCCGGGTGGTTCGTTGTGCTCCGGGTGCAAGTGGGAGGAATACGAACTAGTTTCAGTTGCGTACCGCAACGAGGAACGCGTCCAGCGTATTTTTCGAAACCACGGTGAACTAGATTAGAGGTAAGTAAATTTCATCTGTCCGATCCACTTTTCAAGCATAAATTTTGCATATTCTTACGTTATTTGACATCCTGAATGTAGATAAGATGCTTACATGCGACGTAAAACAGTTCTACCATATTAAAAATATTTGCTACCGTATTTGGGGAAATGTTGGGAACCGGGGTTTTTGGGTCGGGGAGGGAATACAATGCCGTAAGAATGGTCATGAAAGTTGGGGAAAACTGTTGGGAACCGGGGTTTCTCTCCCCACCCATAAACCCCGATTCCCCCTCCCCCACCCAAAAACCCCGGTTCCCTACAGTTTCCCCCAACTTTCATAACCATTCTTACGGCATTGTATTTCCTCCCCCACCCAAAAACCCCGGTTCCCAACATTTCCCCAAATATGGTAGCAAATATTTTTAATATGGTAGCACTGTTTTCCGCCGCATGTAAGCATCATATCTACATTCAGGATGTCAAATAACGTAAGAATATGCAAAATTTATGCTTGAAATATGGATCGGACTTTATGTAAATATTTACCGGGAAATGGTCCTTCATTATTGCACATCTTGCGATGCGGCATGATTTTCATTAAACCACAACATATAAATCATTATTAATATTTAAATAAAATTAGTAAGTAAGATTAAGTAGAATAAAGGTCAATTACGTGTTAACAAAACATATACATATTTGAAAATAAAGGCCACGTCGGAATAAGCTTTTTGTTTCTGTCGCATTCTCACGGTGAGAAAGCATTCCGATGCGATGTTTTCGAAGCGCGCAATGGGATACCAGTGATCATCATTTCCTCCAGCATACTCGAGAGGTGTTTTATCACATATTCAGCAAATATTCTTGGAAACGTCCCCCCCCCCCTATGTAACGGAAGTTAGCCCACATTCAGCCCACATTCGGCCCAGCCCAGATTGGGGCTGCCAAATCTAGGGAAAAATCTAAAAACCTAGGGAAAAATCTAAAAACCGCTTTACGCCTAAATGGCTGAGCGAAACTGAAAAATAAGGCCACCATTTGAAAGATCTCTTCACCCCGGACCTAATGATATGGTTAAATACCGGATCAATTTAACCAAAAGCATGATTTAACCAGGATGAAAATTTTCGGTCAATGGGGCGGCCCCTACGATTTTCTTCAAAATCGGCATGGTGATACTACAGGCCCAGATGACCAATCTGGCTGAAGAAACCCCTATGGGCATTGAAATCTATGGGGTAAAAACGCCCTTGGAAAGTTTTACCCACGCATTTCTGGCAAGACTATCGCACGCATCCCCCCAATGTGGGTATCATATGAAAGCTCATGAAAACCCAAACAAAATGGTGGGGTAAAATTTACCCATTACCCCATCCAGGGAAAAGTTTACCCAAGATGAAAATTTTTGGTCAATGGGGCGGCCCCTACGATTTTCTTCAAAATCGGCATGGTGATACTACAGGCCCAGATGACCAATCTGGCTGAAGAAACCCCTATGGGCATTGAAATCTATGGGGTAAAAACGCCCTTAGAAAGTTTTACCCACACATTTCTGGCAAGACTATCGCACGCATCCCCCCAATATGGGTATCATATGAAAGCTCATGAAAACCCAAACAAAAAAGTGGGGTAAAATTTACCCATTACCCCATCCAGGGTAAAGTTTACCCAAGATGAAAATTTTCGGTCAATGGGGCGGCCCCTGCGATTTTCTTCAAAATCGGCATGGTGATACTACAGGCCCAGATGACCAATCTGGCTGAAGAAACCCCTATGGGCATTGAAATCTATGGGGTAAAAACGCCCTTGGAAAGTTGTACCCACGCATTTCTGGCAAGACTATCGCACGCATCCCCCCAATATGGGTATCATATGAAAGCTCATGAAAACCCAAACAAAATGGTGCGGTAAAATTTACCCATTACCCCATCCAGGGTAAAGTTTACCCAAGATGAAAATTTTCGGTCAATGGGGCGGCCCCTACGATTTTCTTCAAAATCGGCATGGTGATACTACAGGCCCAGATGACCAATCTGGCTGAAGAAACCCCTATGGGCATTGAAATCTATGGGGTAAAAACGCCCTTGGAAAGTTTTACCCACGCATTTCTGGCAAGACTATCGCACGCATCCCCCCAATATGGGTATCATATGAAAGCCCATAAAAACCCAAACAAAATGGTGGGGTTAAATTTATCCATTACCCCATCCAGGGTAAAGTTTACCCAAGATGAAAATTTTCGGTCATGGGGCGGCCCCTACGATTTTCTTCAAAATCGGCA